AAATCAGTTTACGTGTGTTTCTGCCCCTCCGTTCGTCCGAGAATGTGGATAGTAGCCGTGAAACGGGCAAACCAGACGCTGTCGAACTACGATTGCTTGTGCGGGCGACACTTTTGTGGTTGCCGGATGTATTCGTTTTGTTCCAACATGAACAAGAGAAAACCGCCAAGATGTCCGGGCCACCCACGGGTACAGTGCGTCTTCAAATTTACACAGCCGCCTGATCGTTCGAACTTTCATCTGCTTTTCCAAACTTGTTTGCTTTTTGTCGTCTGCTCGTTCAAACAAAAGCGGCCCGTAGACTACACTTTGACCCGGTGATTGCAATAAGAAGTAATTGCAAGCCTCAAAAGACTTAACTAGGCTCGGTTTAAACAGTAGATTCAAGATGTTCATCCTTGGTACCAATGGCCATCACCGACTAGTTACGTTTGGTTTGTTCCCGCTTCCGATTTTCAGTATCGACGTCGATCATCGCCACTACCTTCTACACTTTTTGCACCACGAGCGACGTCGCGACCGAAAATAGCTAGAAGAATGTCATCATGGTTTTGGCGTCCATCCTGCGGCGTTCATGCGAAGGAATCGTCGCACGTCAAATTATTTACGCAAAGTTTAGCGGCATAACGAACCTCAATAATTTCGCTCAGATGATTAAAGTAGTAATATATTGCTATGAGGACTTAGAATCGACAATTCCAACGCAAAAAAAGAGTATGCAGACTCACACAGACGCCGACAACGTGACATTCCAATGGTTTGTTGACGCGGGACGCGGTGCTTCTTGCCTGCACTCCGTTGCGCATGCGTTTGAACTATCGTCTCCTCTTTCAAACTTGTCTGCTTTTTGTCGTCAGCTCGTTCAAACGACAGTGGCCCGTAAACCGAACTTTGACCCGGTGCAGGCCTCAAAACACTTCTGAAGGTTGGTTGGAGTAAGTAGGCTAAGTGTAAACAGCAGATACAAGATGTTGATCATTGCTACCAGTGGCCGTCACCGACTTGTCATGCCCGATTCGCTTGGTCCGATTCTGCTTGCGATTTTCAGTATCGACGTCGACCATCTCAGCTACGTTTCACGCCTTTGCAGCCCGAGCGACGTCGAGACTGGAAATTCCGAGCGAAATCTCATCATGCGAATCAAGGCCCGTTCACACTCTTGCGACCGAGTTAGACCGAGATAGACCAGACCGGTTTTAAAGCCTCTTGCGACTTCTTAGGACCAGCTCCGCTGCAGCGGATCCGGTCCTAAGAAGTCTCTCTCGGTCGAAGTCGGTTGCAAGAGTGTGAACGGGCCTTCAGGCTTTAGCGTACATACTGCGGCGTCCACGCGGAATTATTCGCCGCATATCATATTATTCACGCGAAGTTTTGCCTCGTTAGTTTTGCTGAAGCCGCTCAAGTAGTCAGACATTGTTAGGAGGACGTAGAATCAACAATTCCAACGCGAAAAAGAGCACGGGGACTGCCAACGACGCCGACGACAACGCAATTGAATGGTTTGTTTATCGACGACGGCGGACTTCTTGCCCCCCGTCCACCACGTATGTGCGGCGCCGGTGGCGTCCGCTAGGGGCGCTCCGCTTTGTTTGTAAACATGAGGTGGTGTATACACTCCGTGCGGGAACTATAGGGGGCGCTTTGAAAAACGCGCGCAGCGCCGCTAGCGGAGGAGCTGGCGTTCGACTGTGAGGCGCGTTCAGCAGCCTGCGGCGCCTTTTCGCATGCCAAGCTGTGGCGGCGGAAGCGCGCACGGACGAAAGTTTTGCTTTTTGAGCCGATAAGTTGAGGGTGACGTTGCATGAGTGCTGGGGCAGAAGGACGTTTAGCTGTTCTCCACTTCTTATATACTGAGTTTAAGTCGTTATTAGGGGTAATTTCTCTAGTTGCGGCCGAAAACGAAGTTGGAGCAATTTTCCGAAAAACAAGACGGCCGCTACCTTAATTGCTCTCAGTGGGAAATTTATTTCGCTCGTCGCTGTAAACCTAGGACTGCTGGAACGATGATATTTGGAGGCGAGTGAGATGTTCACTAAGTTTGTGCACGAGGAGTGCCAAGTTTCTTTAAGACAGCAGGTGTGAAAGTTAGGTTTCTAACGAATAAAGAAATAAAGCTGTACGGGATATCCAATATTGGACCCAGAATGTTGTGTTATAACCGTGCTGTGCGAAGCGCAGATTTGGGCACACAGGTGGACTTGACAGTAACATGACACAGCAATTTTTATACCAAAAATAGGGAAACCAAGTGGAAATTTGGTTTGGGCGGCGTAACTCAATGGGATACTAGTGGACTGTACTTCCAATTGAAACAACTTTACGAAAGGTGGTTCCAAAGCCGAGAAAATAAAGTTGTCGGCCAAAACACGGTTTGGCCGCCAAGGGCTTTTGCGGTCAGCTGTTGTGTAATAACCTGTTGTGCGAGGTGCTAGGTGCTGATTTTCGGCGCACAGGTACTTTGACATGACCGCCACTTGGCACAACACTTATTATAACAAAAAGAGTTGGCATAGCGAAACCAGGTGGAAATTTAGTATGGGCGGCGTAACTAAATGAGAACTGGTTTTGACCTTCAAAGGCTGTCAGATAATACCACTCATCGTGGGAGTTGCACACCTTACAGGTAGGAAGGGACCAGTGGACGGTACTTCCAGTTCGAACCACTTTGCGATAGGTGGCTCTAAAGGCGAGAAAAAAATTGTCGTCTACAGAACTCGGGGTGTCAGCGTTTCCACATCCAAAACGAGGCTGGTCAAGAAAGAAAGCCACACCACATTAACTTCCACACTCAAACGTTGATTCTCCAGTGATTCCGAGTTTCATTGCTGTTTCCTTTAGATCTATATTTGTCACTTTTTTTACCGTTCGAATCTTTCTTCATGAAGAACAGATTGCGTGCCATACTTGTCCGGAAATATCATCGACACGTACGATGGGGACGAAACTTCTTTGGAGGGCATTCCTCCAACGAAATTGGCACTGCATACCAACGAGTGTGGGATGGCATTTCAGTTCGTCCCATTGGCGCTGACACATGTAGGTGTTGCTGGTACGAAAACAAACGCAGAGCGCAAAGCGGCAGTGTAGAATATTTCAGCTGTGCCGACGCAGTGGCAGACATGATCGGGAAACCAAATTTCTCGCGTCGTACGGCACGGCTCCATCGTTGTCGCTGTCCCACAAAACATCGGCGAGGTGAAAAACTGTGAAACTTTGTCCCCACGAGATACGACGCATAACTATTGAAGCACTTAATGACGCAGCACAGGCAGCACTTCATGCTGTGAACCCAGCGCAATTGCACCACTCCGACTTCAATGCGTACCAACGTACGCGGCGTGGTTTCGGTTTCGTGTTCTCTGGGGTTCTCAGTGCCTACCTTCTCTACCGGCCGCGCGGCGGCGCGCCAGTCGCGTCGCACGGAGTGTATAGACGCAGCCAACAGACTAGAGTGTGTGTCATTTGCTTGCGGCAGCTATCGGGAGATGGCGTGAGCCGTTGCAAGCGTTGCTAACTTGATCGTCGGCGAACTCGCCATCCGTTGACCCTGGCAAGATTGTTGGTTTAATGCTTCACAGGATGAGAGGTTTTAAAATTGTCTCACCTAAATCTCCCTACCTCATTGCACAATCGGTGAAAGTTTCAGCTTTCTATGTGGAACGCCAAATTTGCCGGCTCGTTTTAGAGCGCAGAGATTCATTTTGGACACCCTAAAGATTTGTAAATAGTGCAACCAAACCGATATGCAAAGTAAAAAGCCTCTACAATACCAAGGTCTGTGAATACCTGATGTACAGCAAATAAGTATTTTCGCTATTTTGACGCTTTGCGCCAAAAACCTTTGGATTGCAATCGTAGATGGCGATGAGAAAGATGGCCGCTTCCCATGTCAGGAAGACTTTGCGGATCATTCAGGCAACTCCGATAACGATACCCGATACTCTGCGAACTCCTTTGAGCCTGCATGGTTTCGTCATCGGGTATTGCTATCGCAGGTGCTGGAACGATCTACAAAAACTTCCTATTGAGTTCATATAATAATCTAGAGGCCTACATTCGTTGCGCTTTATAGCACCTACGGGCTAGATTGAAGGAACAAGGCATCTTTTCAGCAGCAATCGTTTAGTAGCCGCCTCATGCTGCTTCATTAGTCATACACCAATAAGATAGGATTGAAACGAAACTAGGTGTAAACCATCGAAGAGAGTGATGCCGTCGCCAAGGGAAACGTTGCGACAGTGAGCAGCGGTCTTACAAAAGTACAAAAAAAAAGCACCGTTCCTCACCATCAATGTAACATTTGTTATGCAAGCAAGAGAAAGCATTATCCATCACGCCGTTGTTGTGAGATCCGATATTCAAAATTTAAGTAACAGCGCCTGCTAAATATACGTCAGCTGTTTCACGGGAGAGTAAGGCATCGCCGCCGGGCTCTCCCGCTCTCGGTGTCAATAACTTTAACGCTAAAAGAAATGGAACTCTAGCTTCCAGTATAGGCTTTTGGATAGGCGACGCCGTTTAAAAGGCTAAGAAATTAATAGGCTAAGAAAAAAAATGACAGAGTTCTTTAATTCAGACGTTATAATACTTACCAATGTTCTCATGTTTTAAATATTGCTTAGACTACCGCCAGCTATGCTTTCTTTGAAAAAAAGAAATCAAAACCAGGTGCATTCTATTTGATGATAAGTTACCTGTTGAGAACTAAGTGTACGCTCTCTGGCCTCGGTCGCACAAGTGCCATAACTTAATTTTTTTAACAATAAGAACGACAACATGAGCAACCAGTTTATCAAACATTTTCACTCACTTCGTGTTTTCTTTTCGCTGATGAAAGCTTTGGTTTCATGTTTTTATTTAAACTCGTGGATGATCTTAAAACGTGAAGATAAATAGTCTTGAGTAAAATGTAAAATATAAAAGAGCGTAAAACTATCTCTCCACAACAAAAAATTTCTTTATTTTTCGCTTTCGATCAATCTCTCTTTCTCTCCCTCCATCCCTCTCTCTCTATCTCTCTTTCTCATTCTCGCCATCCGTGTTCTTTTTCTCTGTAAAACTGATTTATTGTGTTACATATTATTTACAAGAAAACGAAAATTGTGACTGACAGTAACAACACAACAGCAACAAAAATGTGACTGAAAGTTAGGCTGTAATAGATTTGAATCTTAGCCAGGTGCTTAGTACTTTCCAACTCGGAAGTCGAAACCGTTGCTCATTTGTTTTAACCTCCTCAGTCCCGAGATGACAATTTTTTAGCAATATTTTTGAAACTTTTTTATTGCGTGTCAAATGACTTAACGCTTGTGAAAGTCCAGGAAACAGCTTCTGTTATGTAGGCAAATGAAAATGTGGCACTTTGTGCACTTCAATTTTCTCTTACAATAACGATTTCGGCACTTCATCTGGAACTTAAGCCTAACGGCTTAATGTCGCATTTTACTTCATTCGGACGTAGTGGAATTACCTTGATTCTCTTGTTTGCAGTCGGTTCTTCGCCGCTTTGCGCGTCTTCTCGAGACCCCCTTGAAATGGATGACTCTGCTTGTACGAGCACATAAGCTATAACTGCTTTAAAGTGCAATAGATCTAGCCTGTCCTTCTTCAAAACCATGGCGTTGTCGCAGTCCCTCTGGTACTCTATCCAACTGTTGCAGCATGCCATGTCCAGGAATTGTGTAAAAACAAGGACCGTCCATTTTTTACTGCGCACAGTGATTCGATAGTATGCAACATAGCGGTCAATCAGGTCAACTCCACCCATGTGCTGATTGTACCTGGCTACAATGTGAGGCTGTGTGACCTCGGCTCTCTTCTTTTCGTCTTTTGAACACCTCCGGCATGTACCCTCTGGCGCAGTGCCGAAGGCAGTAGACAATAGAAGGACTGACTTGTTGTCTTTCCATTTAACTTGACAGAGCTTGTCATCGCTCCGTACTCTGCAATGTGATTCACCTCGCTTCATTGATCTGTCATTCGGAATTCTCGCTGCCTCACCGTTGGTACGGTTCGCCATGATGGTCCCCGTGAGGAAATTCTTGTTGTCAATCAGAAATCCAGTCAGTTTCACTCCTGGAAAATATTTGTCAGTGAGCAAAAATGTTGGCTCATCTCTGTTGGTAGTCTTAACAAGTCCTTTTACCACGCCTCCACCAAGGTCGAGCTCTTCCACGTCTGCTTCAGAAACTGTTCGTTTCCCGATGTAAATCGGGAAGTCTAAAACTAGACTATCAGACGCTGCCAACACAAAATTCTTTAGGCCAACTGGGTTGGGTTTGCTTTGAACGCAATGGCTCATGGGGCACCTGCCAGTGTAAAGAATGATCTGCTCGTCTACACACAGCTCTCGTGGACGGAAAAACTCAAGGCAATGCTTTCCTGAAAGAAAAAAAAATACTGGCTCGACGAGGAAGAGGCTGTTCCTCTGTCACAGGCAGCCTGTCCGCAAAATGGAGGTAACTTCGTTGTTCGAAAAACCTGTACCGTGACATTGCGTCCGTAATTACGTAAACACTCAGCAGGTGCGACAAGTACATGCGGATGCCTGCAAATGTCCTAAGATCCTTTGCATTCGTCTCCGCAGATCTACCCGCCCTTTCTCGAACAAAATACAGGTTCGTTTGATGTGCACATTCGTGCAAAAAGTTCCCTGGGAAATATCTTGACAAACAGGTATACGGTGACTTTGATTCCTCCATGCTCTTCTCTGCATCATCTTCATCTTGGGTTCTCACGCTGGTGAACCTGGACGAAATATAAAGGCATAATTATTGATAACAAACCCCGCAACGCCGTCTTTAGATAGATGCAATATTTGATATTCAATTCAATGTGTCTAAACTAATGGAATAAAAATAATGAGACAAAACAATTCGTGCGTTTTTGTTTTACACAAGCACCGCTGGGCTGATCGCTGGCCGACTAGGCGAACATTGTCATCGGAACTGTCGATTTTCTTCTCTGATGTATCCGAGCCTTGAGCATCGTTAACCGGCCACTCCGAGTCTTCCCAATCCGACAAATCAGCATCACTCTGCTCCAAAAACGTCTGGATTTCGTCATCAGTCAGATACTTTCCTGTAATTCCGAAAAGCACAATCGAGCCTCAAAGTACCCAAACGGGTATCTACAACATATACCACCATCAGCACCACAGCTTTTTGCGAAATTTATTTAAAACATGCCCCAGCAAAAGCCCTAGTGTTCCCAGATTATTTTTTTGTGCTACAAGGTTGTACAGGAACGCTACAGGACGAAGTAAGAAAAAGTTTCTCACCGCGTGGACGAAAACGTGCGTGCGAGCTGGAAGACGCCATCACGAACTCTCGCTCTGCTGCGCCCCTCGGGCTGGTGGCGCCATCTAACGCAGAGGGCAGAAAACCGAGTGTACCCGAATGGGTGATGCGGGTCACAACGCTAGCATTTCATTTCGTAGCAAGCTCTGAGCCCTAAAACAGCAGGCCCCGAATAAGGGCAATAACGTTTTTTGTAGCGGCGTTCGGGATGGTGGCTGTGAATAGATGAGTTCGAGGTAAGAGGAGGTGCATTAACTCGCGTAAAAAAAACGAACACAAGCAGCCCACCATTGCATTCGCCGCAAACCACACCTTCCACACCTACCACCGCTTGGTGGGAAAAAATGTATTTTTGCATGTATTTGTATCTGTATTCAGGGATACTTTTTGGTCGTGTTTACATAAGTATCTCAGGGATATTCTTGAATAAAACGACAAATGTATCTCGGTTTCTGTTTATTAGCCTTAAGATACGCGTACCTCGGCATTTGTATTTACGACAACTTTTTGGGGTGTCTCTGGCCAGGCCCTGAAATGTAGAGTAATCCGTTCTGTGCAAGTGAGTTATATGGTCAGGGAAAAATAATATAGGGGGCTAATGGTAAAGTTTAATCTAATGACCAACTAAAATTTGTTAACTAACGTTTTAGGTGTTAAAAGTAAACATAAAGTTTAAGTTAACATCCTTCTGAGCGTCATCAAAAACCATTATATCAGAAAATTATAGAAACAATTAAAGTACGCGGGAGGCGCGGGAGCGCGCTAATGTTGCCATTCGTGCCACAGGCGCAAAGCTGCAGCGCCGCGAAAACGCGGATGATAAACTCATTATTACTCGTTTCTTCGCACCGCATGCCTTGAGCCTGTTGCACCAATGATAACTTGGGTCGTACTTCTCACGAGGCTCCAATTTTTACAGCGGAGCTGTTAAGGGCTTGTTTCCCCAGGATCGTGTCCCCCGCAAAGAAATGAAGACACCAAACTCTGGACGCCTACCGCCATCTATGAGCGACGGCGGCAAGCCTCGTATCTGGTTGCCGCCGTCGCTCATAGATGACGGCAGCCTTTCCAACTTGGCTTGCCGACTTGTGGCCGGCCATTACTTACCATTGTACAGCTCCGTTGGTCTTCCATGTTTACCGGAGTGGAAGGGTGGAAAGTTTTTTTTTTTTTCTAATCTTGTCTGATTTAGTGGTTTCTGTGACGCTCAGCAAATTTCTAATTAGAACGGCACGTTTATTTTTACTAAATAACGGTTAAGAGTTCAGCTTGTTGGTACATACGTGTATATATATCAGCTTGAACTTTAGAAATAACTAGAACACAAAGAAAGAAAGGACAGGAGATGACACACAGCTGTGTGTCATATCCTGTCCTTTCTTTGTGTTCTAGTTATTTCTAAAGTTCAAGCTGATATATTTACAAACATTTTACTAGCTAAAAAGTAAATAAATAATGAAAAACGTTTACAATTCTCTGTAATGCCGAATTAGAGCGCAGCTCTTGATGAGGCGGAGGAGAGGGTATGCCCGTGTGACGTCACGTGTGACGTCACGCGATTACGTCGACGGCAATGTTACTAAAACACTCAGTTGGGAAACTCGCCGTCGAAACCTGGGCCGCTGGCGCCCACCGAGGCCGAGCTAAATACGACCACAGCGCCACTCTTTATCATTTGTCTGTACTGTGGTCACCTTGAGCTTTTAGAAAGCATGTTCTTGCGTAAAAACGAACGGAAAAGACTCTTTTTGTATGAAATTTATTGGAGTTCAGTACAAAATAAAGGGCGCGTGATGTTTTTATCATTTTTAGTGTGCTAGGTTTAGCGGAACAATTAATATTGTTTTTATACAACCATGCCTCAGCGGGGCTCTCAGGTAGCGCGTCCCGACCTAGGTGCATTTTAACTTCGGTAGTAATTCGCGGCGCGTCCGCTGAGGAGACGGGAGTGGCACCCTTGTAACCGCTTCCGCTGTATCTGTTTCGGCGCCAGAATGGCCGATTAAAGCCAAATTAGAAGTAACGTGTAGTTCCTCGAGTGACTGCTGCGGAAGAAATGGCGGCGTAGTGTTCGCCATTAGCTCGGTTCTGGAGGACAGATCGGGGCCACTTTTTCAGAGCAGTCTCTATGGCAGTTTCTCAACTGAGTGGTTCTAGTAACGTTGGTCGACGGCTACGGCGACGCCGCTCAACCCTGAAATGGTCGCATAAGTGGTGCGCTCTAAAAAAAATATTAGTTCCTTATTCGACTTATTGGGACGATCAGCACCCGTATTATTTCCCCCTGGCAGTATTACTAACTTCTGCAGACATAATATTTTTTCCTTATTTGTTCGGCGATTTTTTTTCCGCCCAGGGGCAGAGATAAAGGCGTAAAACCTGACAGGGTCTCTGCCCCCCAACAGTTCAACAGTCAACAGTGCAATGAATACATTCAGCAAAACATGGCATACTCAGTAAACACAAAAATAAAAAGGAAGGCACAGTGAAACAGCTACTTGAACATTCAACAGTGTGAAATGTAAAATGAAATAAAAGTACTTAACGTACCTTTCCCCCTTCTTTTAAATATACCTGTTTAAAATGATATCACACATCCCGTATCGTATACGACAAGGAGGTGGCGAAAACGTTGATCGTCTGGGAGCGTCTCGGCCTTTCCGCCTGCATTCCTCCTCGCCACGCGAAAACGCAGCGCGTGCGTACTTGCGACCAATCTGCGCAGTAGATGTCAACCATTAAACTGCAAGTGCTCCCCACGTTTCGAGATGGGTACCCTCTCAGCAACTTAGGCCCTCTGAGGAACTCCAGAGGAGACGACGCCATCCAGCAGAAAAGAGGGGAAGGGGAGAGTTACCGCCGATCCAAGTCGATCGTCAAACACTCACGCGCACTGGTGGCCAAAATGGGAAACGGAGGAAAGTAAAGTGCAGGCATGCCTTTAGAGTTGCATCTAGTTCATGAGCGCAGACCACGTGAATTTCAAAGGTAGTTCCTTGAATACACAAGAGGGCGGAGTATCGCGACGATGCAAAGAGGGATATTGGTGCCGGGGAAGTTGACCACGCCCGGAGCTGTTGACGCACCCTCCCCATAAGAACGAGCTCCGGTTCATTTTTTTTTTTAAATAAATGTGTTTAACGCGCCATCACAACACAGCCCTGCGTCAGGCCGAAACAGGAAACTTATTAGAATTCTAGACACCGCTGACAAATGCCCTCGCAAGATTAAAGTGCCGCCTCCGTGTTTTCGCTGTCCGCGACGCTACGAGTAATTCGATATTCATAACGGGTTATTTATTACAAATTCTAATCTCAAATGCGGCGTCACTCTCACTTTTATATTTTTCATTGGGTTAACTGAAACGGCCACATCGAGTAAAAGATCGATTCCTGTTTCCTTCTTCTGTAACGTAGATGAGACTGAGCGACTCGTTTGTTTCTGTGCATGCCGGCCTGAGCAGTGAGTAGATTGCCCGGCCATCTGAATTGTTTTGAGTGGGGACGAAAACTCAATCTACTTCCTCTTTCTTTCAACATTTCGGCAGAAGGGGAGTAGCTTCAGCCATTACCTCACGAGCAGACTTCCACCTAACGCGTTAATTGTGCTTACGCTTGTTTTCAACTCAAGAACCGCAGTAAAAAAAAGTCCGGCTGTTCGCGGAGTATTACTAAATTTTTCTTTTACGTAGGTAATTGAGACAAAGTAGGTGCATTTTAGATTCGATATATGTTATCTTATCATGTCGTGCACTCTTCCTCTGACAACCAAATCCCCTAAAAACTACACTTCGCGAGGCGTATGAACAACGCGAAAAACTTCCATTTTTCTTAAGGTGAAAACGACTATAGTTTCTTTTGCGGCAACAAAGTAACGGCTTAACTAAGCCGTTACTTTTTATGTGACTTTTTCGGAAAAGAAACGGGCATGTATTATCGTTAATTTTTTTAAAGCAATAGGTGGTGATATACAGCCACTTCTGGAGGGGAACGTGTACACATCGCGACACTGTTAGCGCGAACACGACAACGGCGCCTTTTCGCCATATATCAGGAAAGAGTATTAGTGGGCACAGAAATGTACCCCTTATAATAGAGCCCTAAATGAGCTCTTTCTACAATCATAATATTTTTTTATGAGAACCTTTTGGTTCTAAGAGAAAGACACAAAATGCTGGCGATCGCTTGTTCACGGTAATTGTGTGGCGTTCTGTACACCACGAGCACCCAACATAGTTCTCACTCCGCCTCGCGCCTGGAATTTGCGCGACGAGGAAACCCTAGACAGACCATACAAAAGCTCTGCACAAGGTATGTGAGTATTCACTCCGTGCGACGAGACCTGCGCGTCGCCGCGCGGCCGTTACCGGAAGATAGGCAGTGAGAACGCCAGCGAAACGAAACCACTCCGCGTACATTGCTGTGCATAGTGCGTTCAAGTCGAAGCGATGCGGTTGCTCTGGGTTGACAGCACGCGCTGCTGCGTCGTTAAGTGCTCCAATAGCTATGCGTCGTGTTTCGTGGGGACAAAGTTTCATAGTTTTTCAGCTCGCCGTTGTTTTTTGGGGCGGCGGCAACGACGACGGATCCGTGCCGTACGACGCAAGAAATGTGGTCTCCCGATCGTGTCTACCACGTATCGGCACGGCTGATATTTCCCACACTGCCGCTTGGCGGACAGTGTTTTGTGCCGGTAACGCCTACATATGTTAGCGCCACCTATGTTACGAGACTGAAAAACCATCCCGCACTCGCGGGTGTGCAGTGCTCATTTCGTTGGAGAGATGCTTTCCAAAGACGTTTCGTCTCCATCGTGCATGTCAATCATCTTTCAGGTTCACTATGGCACAGTCGCACAAAGCGTAAAAGAAAAAAAACGTTTTTTAATTACGTAAATGCGTGGTCTTTGAGCTCGAGCACAGTTCGAGAGTAGTTTAATGACCGTGGCCTAATCTTTTGGTTTTAAAGTGCGCAAGGTGGTGGATTAATTTCATGAAAAAAGTGGCAGGCTCGAGTAAGGCGAAAGGTATATACTTATACTGTCCAGGGTAAGGTCAAC